CAACCCTTGGCTTGGTGTCGCCCGCACCGCGCTCAGCCAGTGAGCGCACCGGCCATCCCCATATAGGATCCGAACCCACGGCAGGAGCGCCGCTGTGCTCCCAGCACTGCACTCTCCCAAGTGCGCCACGGGCCGGCCCTTCTTTTTTATTATTGTAAGGGTGGGTAGTTAAAAGTGAATAAGACATAGTACATGTTCTCAATAACACCCTCAGTCTAGTAAGGGAGACAGACATTTAAAAATATTTTTAATACACTATGATCTATCCTACAGTAGAAATATATATAAAATACAGAAGTACAAAGAAGAAGGGAGGCATTCATTTTGCAGTTTGGGGGACAATAGGAATGTCATAGAGACGGTGATAACTTGTTTAGAGTTTTATAGAATAAATGGAAGTTTCTTAGGTCTACCAAGAGGGAAATTGTATTCAAGGCAAGGAGAACAGAATGTGTAATGGCACAATAAAAAGCAGTGTTTATATTTCCTTCCATTATTAAATTGATTTTTTTCTTATGTGAAAAGCCAATCATTTGCCATTCTGTATTATGGACTGTACGTTGCCCCTGCAGGTTAAAAATGCCATGTTAGCAGGAGCCATAGGAATCATCTTGTACTCAGATCCAGCTGACTACTTTGCCCCTGAGGTGCAGCCATATCCTAAAGGATGGAACCTTCCTGGAACTGCAGCCCAGAGAGGAAATGTATTAAATTTGAATGGTGCTGGTGATCCACTCACTCCAGGCTATCCAGCTAAAGGTAATGGATGAGCCTTTCAGTCTACCATTTTTACAAAAATACTCCTCATCCTTTTAAATGGGATAAGAGCAAGCATCTACAGAATAACAATAAAACTAAAATTCTGTACAATTATATAACTGTGGATTACTATTGCTGGGAATTCAAAAGCATTTNACAGTATATGATGCCCACCTTGTAAAAAAACATTACAAGGTGGGCATCATATACTGTATATTGTGTAACTGTATTTTTTCACTCAGCCATATCTCATGGGTATTCTTCATGTCAGCACATTGAGTGATGTATAATATAGTGGATAAGCATATAGCACCCTAGATTCATAGCACCTGTGTCTGATCTAGCAGGACCCTCTTATCTAGATCTTTTACTGTGAGTAAATTACTTAACCTCTCTGTGCCAAAATTTCCTCATATATAAATGGGAATGCTGAAATAGCACCAATCTCATAGAGTCCTTATTAGGATTAAATGAGTTTATGTTTGAAAGCACTTAGGATAGTGGCTGGTATTTAGCAATGTCTATATAATTGCTTATTGAACATGGCTGGTATTTAGCAATGTCTACATAATTGCTTATTGAATACCTCATTATTTTAAATGATGGCATAATATTTTACAGAATTGATAAGCAACTTATTTAATTGTTCACCTGGTGATGAATACTTGGCTTGTCTTGAATTTGTTACTACCACAAATAATTCCATTGTGAAATCCTGATTCATATGCAGTTCAAACATTTGTTTGAAGATTTTTGTAGTATAAATTCCTAGAAGTGAAATGGCTGAATCATAGTGTATATTCTTTCAAAATTTTGATAGGCATAATCAAATTGCCCTTCAAAAAAGTTGCAACAAATTATACTTCCACCTTCCACTTTATATAGCAGACTGCTTTCTGAATATTGGAATGCATTTTAGTGAACCAAGAATGATAGTTATCCATCTTTTGCTACAGTACTTCTGATAATGAAGAATGCAGCATCTCACAGGGTAGATTTTCCTATTCTTGGCCAGTTTGAATTGTTAGAAAGATATTTACAAAAACACTTCGGGAAGTCTTCCATACACTATTACTGTCCTGCATAAAATTTTAAATCAGTTTAGTTCCACAAAAATTTGTAGAGTGCTTACTCCATGATGTGCTAAATTTTGAAGGGTGGGTAGTTAAAAGTGAATAAGACATAGTACATGTTCTCAATAACACCCTCAGTCTAGTAAGGGAGACAGACATTTAAAAGTATTTTTAATACACTATGATCTATCCTACAGTAGAAATATATATAAAATACAGAAGTACAAAGAAGAAGGGAGGCATTCATTTTGCAGTTTGGGGGACAATAGGAATGTTTCATAGAGACGGTGATAACTTGTTTAGAGTTTTATAGAATAAACGGAAGTTTCTTAGGTCTACCAAGAGGGAAATTGTGTTCAATGAAAGGAGAACTGAATGTGTAATGGCACAATAAAAAGCAGTGTTTATATTTCCTTCCATTATTAAATTGATTTTTTTCTTATGTGAAAAGCCAATCATTTGCCATTCTGCATTATGGATTGTACGTTGCCCCTGCAGGTTAAAAATGCCATGTTAGCAGGAGCCATAGGAATCATCTTGTACTCAGATCAAGCTGACTACTTTGCCCCTGAGGTGCAGCCATATCCTAAAGGATGGAACCTTCCTGGAACTGCAGCCCAGAGAGGAAATGTATTAAATTTGAATGGTGCTGGTGATCCACTCACTCCAGGCTATCCAGCTAAAGGTAATGGATGAGCCTTTCAGTCTACCATTTTTACAAAAATACTCCTCATCCTTTTAAATGGGATAAGAGCAAGCATCTACAGAATAACAATAAAACTAAAATTCTGTACAAATATATAACTGTGGATTACTATTGCTGGGAATTCAAAAGCATTTCCCTTGTATTATTTTAGTTATAATTTTTCATGAGGTGTGAACATGAGAGGGAACAGTAAGTTGATACTTTCCTTCTACCTTCAGCAGAGTAGAGGCTCAGAAAACTGATCCTCATACCCAAAGTAATATTGCTCTTACCAAACTAGAATTTAGGTTTTTTAAATTATTTAGAGATTTCACACTTCTTCAGATTGTACTTTTCTATTTTTAAAAGTATCAATGAGTTTTTTTTAACAGTGTTATTTAAAATATAAAACTAGAAAGGTTTTTACATATGTGAAAACGTCTCCACAATAAAGCTAGTGAACATATCCATTACCTCCAAAAAGTTTCCTCTCATCTCTTTGTAATCTCTTCCTCCCAACTCTTTCTGCCCCTTCCATGCCAGGCAACTACTGATCTGTGTTCAGTCTGCATAGTTATTTTGAGATTCATCCATGTTTGCATCTATGTCAATAGGTCATTTTTCTTGACTGAGTAATATTCCATTGAATTATTATACCACAGTTCATTTATCCATTTACTTGTGGATTGACATTTGGGTTGTTTTCAGTTTAGGGGCTACTGCATACAAAGTTGCTATGAACAGTTGGTGTAAAAGTCTTTCTAAATATACTTGCAAGTGTAATGGCTAGATAATATGGTAGATGGATTTTTAACTTTTTAAGAAATGTTCAAATCATTTTCCAAAGTGGTTGTTTCATTTTACATTCCAGCAGCGGTATGTGAGTGTTCTAGTTGCTACATCCTCATCCATACTTTGTTGACAGTCTTTTGACTTTTATGTTCTAATAGGTATGTAAGTCCTTCAAGTTACCGTTCTTCATTTTCAAAGTTGTCATGGCTATTCTTGGTCCTTTCAGGGTGAATTTTATAACCAGCTTGCTAATTTCAACCAAAAAGCCTCCTTGAGGTTTTTTGGAATTAAATGAAATCTACAGATCAATTTGGGGAGAACTGACATGTTAGAAAAGTTGAATCTTCTTCATGTTGACACATTAGAAATGTTCAATCTTCTGGTTCATGAACAGGTTCAACACATCATTCTTCAACTTTGTTGAACAATGTTTTGTAGTTTCATTGTATGAACGTGCACCTCTTTAGGCAGATTTATCCATAGCATCTTATAGTTTTATACTATTGTAAATTGCATTTTAGATTTTAATTCCAATTGTTCATTATTAGTAAATAGAAACACTGTTGTATTTCTAGAAGTAGTACATTGATCTCGTGTCCTGCAAATTTGTTAAACTGACAGAGCAGTTCTTCTAGGTTTTTGTAGATTCCATCAGTTTATGTAGATGATCATGCCATCAGCAAGTAAAAGACAGTTTTATTTCTTTGTTTCCAATCTGGATTTCTTTTTATTATTATTATTATTATTATTATTTTGTCTTTTCGTGACCGGTAAGGGGATCGCAACCCCCGGCCTGGTGACGCCCACACCGTGCTCAGTCAGTGAGTACACCAGCCAGTCCCATATAGGATCCGAACCCACGGCAGGAGCGCCGCTGTGCTCCCAGCACTGCACTCTCCCAAGTGCGCCACGGGCCGGCCCTTCTTTTTTATTATTGTACTGGCTAGAACCTCCGGTACAATGTGGTATAGAAGTTGTTAGAGCAGACATCTTGCCTTGTTCCTGTTCTAAGGGGGAAAGCATTCAGTCTTTCTCCATTAAATATGATGTTAGCTTTCAGTTTTTTATAGACTATTTTTTTCAGACTGAGGAAGTTCACTTTTATCCTAATATGCAGAGAGTTTTCATCAGGAGTGTATAGTGGATTTTATCAAATGCACTTTCTGTGTATACTGAGGTGATCATATGTTATTTTTTTACTTTTATTAAATTACATTGATTTTTTTTAATGTTAAACTCTGGTCACAGTGTATGATCTTTTTATATGTTGTTAGATTTGTGCTAAGTTTTTCTTAGGAATATCTTTGTCTATGGTCATAAGAGATATTGGCCTGTAGATTTATTTCTTCATAGTATCTTTTTGTCATTTTGGTATCAGAGTAACGTTGGCCTCTTGGAATAAGTTGGGAACTAGTTCATCTTCTTCATTTCTCTGCAAGAGTTTATGTAGAATTGGTTAAATTTTGTCTATAGTTGTTAGGTAGAATTCCCCAGAAATCCATCTGGGCCTGAAGTTTTATTTATAGAAATGTTCTTTACTACAAATTATATTTCTTTAATAGATGTATGGCTGTTCAGGCTGTATCTGTTTATTCTTGAGTGAGCTTTAGTAGTTTGTGTCTTTCAAGGATTTTGTCCATTTCATTTAACTCATCAAATTTATGGACATAGAGTTGTTTATAATATTCTCTTATTCTTTTTATTTCGTCCATTTCATCTAACTCATCAGATTTATGGATATAGAGTTGTTTATAATATTTCTTATCCTTTTTTTTGTTGTTGTTGGCAGGTATTGGAATGAGATTCTCTCTTTTAATGCTGATATTGGCAATTTATGTATTTTCTTCTTTTTTTTTCTGATGTGTCTTGCTAGAGATTTATCAGTTTTATTGCTCTACTCAAAGAACCAGCTTTGAGTTTTATTGATTATCTCTGTGTAGAATGTGATGTAATTTGTTTGCAGCCTTTTTTCCTAAAATAGATATTTTAGTGCTTTAACTCTCTCTAAAAGCACTGCTTTAGCTGCATGCTGGAAATTTTGATATATTGTGTTCATACTTTCTTTCAATTTCAAATACTTTCTATTCTCCTTCTTTTTTCTACTTTGGCTCATGTGTTATTTAGTTTTCAAATAATTGGGAATTTTCTAGGTATCTTTATAATATTGATTTCTAATTTAATTCCACTGTGTTAGCAAACATACTTTTTATGACTTTTATATCTACTGAGACATGTTTTATGGCCTNGTTATCTGTTTATTCTTGAGTGTTGGTAGTTTGTGTCTTTCAAGGATTTCGTCCATTTCATTTAACTCATCAAATTTATGGACATAGAGTTGTTTATAATATTTCTTATCCTTTTTTTTTTGTTGTTGTTGGCAGGTACTGGAATGAGATTCTCTCTTTTAATGCTGATATTGGCAATTTATGTATTTTCTTCTTTTTTTTTCTGATGTGTCTTGCTAGAGATTTATCAGTTTTATTGCTCTACTCAAAGAACCAGCTTTGAGTTTTATTGATTATCTCTGTGTAGAATGTGATGTAATTTGTTTGCAGCCTTTTTTCCTAAAATAGATATTTTAGTGCTTTAACTGTCTCTAAAAGCACTGCTTTAGCTGCATGCTGGAAATTTTGATATATTGTGTTCATACTTTCTTTCAATTTCAAATACTTTCTATTCTCCTTTTTTCTACTTTGGCTCATGTGTTATTTAGTTTTCAAATAATTGGGAATTTTCTAGGTATCTTTATAATATTGATTTCTAATTTAATTCGACTGTGTTAGCAAACATACTTTTTATGACTTTTATATCTACTGAGACATGTTTTATGGCCTAGAATATGGTCTATCTAATACACGTTTTATATGCATTTGTAAAGAATGACTATTCTGCTTTTCGGTGGAGTATTCTATAAATACAGTTAGGACAAGTCAGTTGATAGTGTTATTCTTTTTTTTTTTTTGTCCTTTTTGAGACCTGCCGCACTGCACTCAGCCAGTGAGCGCTGTGAGCGCACTGGTCATCCCTATATAGGATCCGAACCCGCGGCGGGAGCGCGCACCACACCCTCCCGAGTGCGCCAGGGGCTCGGCCCTGATAGTGTTATTCAAGTCTTATACACTTAGTAAATTTCTATCTAATTGTATTGTTAAAATTTCTATTTCAACAGTCAATTATCATATAAAGATAAATAATAGGAAATTTTTATGGTAGAACTATTGTTGCGTATATTTGTCATTTTTAAAATTATTTTAGGCACGAAGGTAAAACCTGTCCCTTTTACTCCATCTCGGCTAAAAACCAATATCCCAATGAGGTTTTAAGGCTGACAATAACTGTTCAATTTTTCTTCAAAGAGAATATCACATTATTTTTTAAATAAGATATTTATCATTTATTATTAAAATCTCATAAATTCCCTTTTTTTTTTTTTTTTTGCAATTATTTCTAGTTTTAGAATCTGAGACACATCTTCCAGGCATCTGTTTAAATGAAGCTTGAGGAAATAAAATATTCTTGTAAAATTCAACAGTTATGTGAAATGTAAAAACAAATTTATGAATATATAATTTTTATAATTAATTTTACCTTAAAATGTAAAAGCTTTAATTTTTACTGTTGATGAAATAGATCATATTAGGTAAAACAATCATTTGACTTTTGGGGAACTTTTAATTTTGATATAATTGCAAATGTACAGCAAATCTGCCATAGTAATACAAGAAATTCCTGTATATCCCTGGCTCAGTTTCTTCATTATTTTCATTTATGCACTTGGTTTTTGCAGAGTACACCTTCAGACTTAACATTGAAGATGGAGTGGGAATCCCCCAAATACCTGTACATCCCATTGGATATAATGATGCAGAAATATTATTACGGTATAGTTCTCTAGTTGAATATGAGATTAAAATATTTTGTACTAATGTGTTCATTTTCTGGATTTAAAACCAATAAAATCTAATTATGTTCAATTTCATTCAGTCTCATATCAAAATAACTCCAGAAATAGGAATAATAGAACACTCCATCTTACTCCATAAGAGAAGAGTAATCAGTGACTAAGAAATAATAATAAAACATTGCTCTGTTTGCTACAAATGAAATTCTCAAATGCCAAACTATGTCCAAAGATGAGTGAGTACTAATTTGAGATTTTTCAAGTAGATGGATTTCCTTAGATATTCATTAGGTATTTATACTTGACCTGTAGTGTAAATATATAATGCTTACCACTTACTAGATATGTGACCTTGGACCAGTTATTTAATCTTTCTCTGACTCAGTTTCTTTTTCTGTAAAATGAAGACAGTAATTGTTTCTCCCTGTCAGGGTTATTAAGCGATCATATGTAAAGTACTTAGCACAGTATCTAGAATATGGTAAATGCTCAGTTAATGTTTGCTATTATTGTATTCCGTAATTAATATTCTTTTTACATATCCCCCAATTTCCATTTTTAAATGTCTATACCACTACAACTTAAGAATTGCATTATGAATAACTACTATGTAACCAGCAGCTTCTTCACAAATTTATATCTTCTCCCTAACACAGTCATGAATTTCCTATATTCGGGATTTCTTGAACCCAGTGCTTTCCCACATAAATTATTAAGGTCAAGAGAAAGGAGGCTGATGCTCCCCATCTGCCCTCACTATTTTATTTTTCTCTGCTTAGTTTTTATCACTAACATAGTACATATTTTACTAACTTTTCTCACTGCTGTCTCTCTCACTGTAATGTATGCTCCACAAGGGAAGGGATTTTTGAGAGTCTTGGCACTTAGTAAATGCTCTTAGAAAATCATTTGGTAAATTTCTTAGCTATAGTAATGAAATATTATCTCATCGTCAAACTTCATGATTTCTTCTTGGAAATTGTGATGCTCCTTTTTCTGGTGTTTTCATTTTCTCTTGACAGCCCTATGGGAGGAACTGCTCCACCAGATGAGAGCTGGAAGGGAACACTCAATGTGAGTTATAATATTGGACCTGGCTTTACAGGGAGTGATTCTTTCAGGTAATTTTTCATTACTTTAATAGCCCAGAAATGTTTTCTACTTTTAATGGAAAATTGTCAAGATAAGTGTTTAGCTAGGTATATTTTGCTTATCTCTTTTTCTTATTTTCACTAGTGAAAAATCGATCATTTTATGTCACTTAAGAAGTACTTTCAGAATATAGTACTGAATTAGTACAAAAATGATATCTCAATAGTTTCATAGAGACCCCTAAATTACTACATTGGAGTTATAGGTTTAACATTTCAAGCAATGATTTTCTTTAACTTCCCTTTTCACCTGAAAATAATTCTTCAAGTACTTTCAAAATGCCATACATGTGAAACACTTGATTAAGTTAAGGAAGTAGGTAAAGGAGAAAAGAAAAAGAAACCAACATTTATTGATCACTTAGTGTGTGGAGTAAAAAAAGAGTTAAAATAGGTTAAACATGTAGCTACTATGAGGCTCAATAGACTTACCATTATAATTATCATTGTTATTAATACTTCATAGCACTGTTGCTGAGGAGGAATGATCACAGAATATGTGTTTATTGAGCTTAGTCTTACAGAACAGTAATTGGATCAAGGCAGGCACAAAATGCCAGCTAGAAAGTTCAGCTTGTGCAGAGTTGTCAAACAGCATGGCATGATCAGAACTTTAAGAAGTTTCATTTGCCTGAAATGTAGGAGGAGAGTGAAATATAATACTAATAAATCAGAGAAGACATAGCTGTTTTTCTTAACCAAAGTTATTAAATCAGTTTTGATTATTAACAACTTACCTTAACTATGTGAGCATGGATTCTTAGTATTTTTTAGTTTCTATAGGAATTTTTTTGTTCCAGAAAATTTAAAGTATTAAATGTTCAATTTCCTCATTTCATAGGAATTTTAGAAATATTTTATTTATAGTGTTTATCACTATAATTCAATCAGAATAGAGTTCTTCTAATTTAAGAGACTTTTTTTTTTGTCTTTTTCGTGACCGGTAAGGGGATCGCAACCCTTGGTGTGGTGTTGCCCACACCCCGCTCAACCAGTGAGATCACCGGCCATTCCTATATAGGATCCGAACCCGCGGTGGGAGCGTTTCTGCGCTCTCAGCGCCGCACTCTCCCAAGTGCGCCACGGGGTCGGCCCAAGAGACTTTTTT